ATAATTTTTTATTAATTTGTCAATATAAGATTCGAAAAAAAATCATAATCGATATTATTTTTGAAAATAAACTTTAATTATATATATATATATCCTTAAAATTAACTTAAAGTCACTAATTTTTATGTATCGGTGGTGTATTATGAACTTTTTGAATTTTTATTTATTTCTCATATGAACGGGCACTCCTGACCCAAAAATGTAGGTACTTGTATTTTTCGGGTATTCAAACTTAATGGGTCGGGTCACGGGTCGATAAATACACTACCTGAAAATTTGAGTACCTGATATTTCGGATATACAAAAATGCGGATTACCCCTAACTGTAACATTTGTCGTATATCTCAAATTAATTTTGGTAATCACCCAAAAAAAAAATTTACATGTCTGGCCTATTGGGTCAATTTTACCATTGGTTTGGACCGCTGTTTCTGGTCGGTTTAGCCCCACAATCAATCCAACAGAAACTTGAAATGGCTGCGCGTAAAAGCTTAACAGAAAATCACTATCCATATCTGCTTCATCACTATCCACATCAAACAATTGTCTGAAATCCGACATGGCTCTTCTCTACAATTTCAACAACGTTTCTTGAGGAGAAACTTGAAAAGGGTTCTTTTTCTTTGGGAGAAACATTGTCCAAGGCTAGCTTGCTTGCCCTTGTTTCTGCTTCTGTTTTCTTGGTTGATCCTACACTTGCTTTCAAGGTAAATTTGAGTTTTCATATGATGCACACGAATTTGATCATCGAATCTATGTTATTAGACACGAGTGTGAGCGTCAGATACGAGTTTTAATGTCTTTTGTTTTGACAATGTGTGGTAGATCCTGCTCTTGCTTTCAAGGTAAAATTGAGTTTTCATATGATACACACGAATTTGATCATTTAAGCCATGTTATTTACTCGGGTGTGAGTGTCAGATACGAGTTTTCAACGATTTACATCGGTTACGAATGTCTTTTGTTTTGACAATGTGTGGAGTGTGGTAGATCCTGCTCTTGCTTTCAAGGAAATTTTGAGTTTTCATATGATACACACGAATTCGATCATCGATGCTATGTTATTTAGACTCGGGTGTGAGTATCAGATACGAGTTTTCGATGAATCAAATTGGTTATGAATGTCTTTTGCTTTTACAATGTGCATTGTGTCTGCTAGTCCTTGCTTCTGCTTCTGTTTACTTGGTAGATCATGCACTCGGTTTCAAGGTAAATTTGAGTTTTTGTACGATACACACGAATTTGATCATTGAAGCTATGTTATTTAGACTCGAGTGTGAGTGTCGGATTCGATTTTCCCACGATTGAAATCGGTTACGAATGTCTTTTGTTTTGACAATGTGCGTTGTTAAAAAGGGAGGAGGGCCTTATGGATCTGAAGTAACAAGAGGACAAGACTTAACCGGCAAAGATTTTAGTGGCAAGACATTGATCAAGCAAGATTTCAAGACAGTATTGTTCTGTTTTTTCAGTTAATTGATATGTCTTTGGTATTTGACTTTGTCAATCTCAATGCTTTAGAGCTTATTTGATTTTCCTTTTTCCTCCATTTCAGTCCATACTTCGACAAGCCAATTTCAAAGGCGCAAAATTGCTCGGTGCTAGCTTCTTCGATGCCGATTTGACAGGTTTTCTCCCAACTATTCCATGTAAACTAACTAAATTCGAACATTTTTCATTAAGAACTTCAAATGTCCCCCCATTTTTCTGTTGTCTCGAATATAGGATTCGACAAGGCTAATTTCAAGTTTCGAGCTTGTTTTTATGGTCCGGTAATGTGGTTAAATTGGCATCACTGGTTAAAAGACCTCGATTCATATCGGTTTTCATTAAATATCTGTAATGTTTATGAGTTGAGGCTGTAAAAGGCCTCGGGTTGAATCGATTTTTCATGGATCTTCCGCTGCTTTTATGCTTATATATGCTTACATGACAGACATCGACCTTTTTCGTGTTGCTGCTAGTAAATAGTTCAGATAAGTGCATGCCTGCAACTTTGGATGAACACTTGAATCTTTTGTTCTTTGTCCCCGCTCATGTTTTAAACGGTTCTCAATTAACCGAAATGATGCAGGAGCCGACCTTTCCGAAGCTGATCTTAGGGGTGCAGATTTTTCTCTGGCAAATGTAACGAAGGTAAAGATCAATCACATGTTAGGTGTATATCTTTTCGTATTGGAAAGATCTTTTAAATTCGGGTTTGATCCGAGTCTGTTTTCAGACGGATAATTTAGTGTTCTATAGGATGATATCTTCTTTCGAATCTCCGATCGTTCTTACCTGCAGGCAAATTTAAGCGACGCGAACTTGGAAGGCGCGACTGCAACGGAAACACATCTTTCAAAGGATCAAACATAACAGGTTCTGGTATGTATGAACTCCTGTTTACTTAACTCTCCGTCTGCTGAATATCGATGAACTGTGCATAATTTGCCTGCAAATCTCATTATCTCGTAGTCGGTCGGTTTATCTGATTGTCTTCATAAGATCAGATTTCACAGACGTACCGTTGCGAGATGGTGAATATCTCTGCAAAGTTGCAGACGAGTAAGATATGCTATAATAACTCCTTTAAAACATGTTTGACATTTCTCTGATTATTGAAACGGCGTTGTGGCATTAGGGTGAATCCGACCACCGGAAACGCAACACGGGACACATTGCTCTGCAACTAGACGAAAGATCGAGAAATCGACACCGCAGCGGGTGTTAATTTTGCTGTGAGAAAACTATGCCATTGTTTGTGTTGCATCCCACGTTGAAGATACATGAAATTAAACAAACATGTAGTGATACGATGCACAAGGCATGAACTCAAAGGTGATGAGAAGTTGTACCTCTTAAAATTCTAAATTCCGATATATTTTAAGTATTTTTTTATAATATTTATCGAAGATCTAATTTTACTATCTAAATTACAATATAATTTCTTAAAAGATCGTATTCCGACATAAAATCTTACATCTATCCATAATTATAAACACATTGATCCTTTAAACATACCATTATTTTTTATTTTGGACCGACAAATTAATAAAATAATAATGTGAATATCTTTAGTCTTGATCTTTTCTGAAACATCTTCTATTCGATCTGACGATAACTAAATCGAAGATATTATCATAGAACCTAAATTAGAATTAAACATTTAGAAATTATACTTAGAACATAATCACACTCACTTTTTAAATAATATAAGCCTTAATCATCAATCATTAAGCAACCTACAAGTAATATCATGCTTGAAGACCAAATTATAATTTTTGAAAAGTTCAAGGACCCACAACAAATAACAATAGATTAATAAATTTTTAGTTTGAAACCAAATAAGTCTCATTAAAGTATAGTTAATCCAGTTGTGGACTTTAATAAAAAAAAAAATCATAAAAGCAGAAATTATAAGTAAAATCGTACAATAGACATATATTCATATGTGACAACTATTAGGTATCAATTAACAACCTTTTAAATTTTCAGAGACTAAAAATGTAATGTCTAGAAGTTGAAGGACTACCTTACGAGTTATTATTTAGTTCATTTTTACTACTAAATATCCAATTTAGTCATTATACATGCTATTATACTCCCAAAAGTCCTTAAACATCATTTTATTGCTTAGAAAATTATTAAAATTTTGTGATCAACAAATTTATTGTACTATTTCAAATTATAGTCATTTTGGCAGAATATATAAATTTTAGGGACTAAAATTGTTATTATAAAACGTCACAAGTTAACAATAAAATCAACACAAAAACCAAACGTAACGTTAGGTATTATACACGCACGTAAGTATTGAAATATAAATGCATTTATTAAACATGCATGCGAGAATTAAACGCAAGTATTATTTTTAAAGGATAAATTATGCATTTAGTATTTAAACTATCAATTTTAATTCATTTTAGTACTTAAACTTTACAAATTTTCAAAATCATACCTAACGTTTAATTTTTGTTTTATTTTAGTACCTGCATTTAAAAAAATGGACAAGCTCGCCAGTCGTTGCATCCGTCGGCCGATTAAGCACAAACTTTTCGGCATGTACCTTTTCGACCCCTTGAACACGATTTCACCTTCCATTTCATCGGAAAACGCTTCAATCTCCCTAAATCGACGATGGACAATTCGATTTTCTTCATCCTCAGATCTCCGTCGTCAACCTTCTGATAGGCTTGAAACTGGACTATGTAGGTCAACTTGTCATTCTTTCATGGTCCACTCGTTCGAATTGGTTATTCGTCTACTAGAGCTATGCGTCGATAGCCGGTCCGTTAAGTTTTTAACAGTAGGTACTAAAATGAAAGAAAAACTAAACATTTGGGTATAATTTTAAAAGAATTAAAAGTTTAGATACTAAAACAGACCAAAACTAATAGTTCAGGTACTAAATACATTTTCTAAAACACTTGAATTAAAGATTAAACGAATTTGTTTAAGAATGTTCAATGCATGAGTGAAGGTGCTCAAGGATGTTGGGCTTATTTTTCACTAGAACATAGGCCTATGAAATATCTATTTGCTAGATCAGGTAAAATTAGCCCAATAATATAATCGGGCTAATTATTTAACCCAATACGACCCAAAGCATATTATTCGAGAATTTACCGCATTTATTATAGTGACTTAAACTTTTATTGAAACTCGTTACGTTGACATGATTTCAGTTTTTCGCTCAGTCGCTCGGTTCCTTTTTCCTCATTCTAATAAATGACCTTTCGGGGTTTCAAACTCAAACTTGTAGTCTTGTCCATGATGAAGTTTACATGGACACTGCAACAATCATTCATATCGACATTTCTCATTTCCTTTCATTGACGTTTCAACTCAAACGCAATTACGTTCTTTCGAGTCATTTCTCATCGATGTAGTTTTATTTATGTACAACAAATATGCGCATGCGCATGCACATAAACTAACTCGAAATAAGACGAGTAAAGAGAGCGAGTGTAGGGTTCTCAACACCAAAGACGGGCTATAAATCATACTCTACATTGCTCCGGCTCTTCATTTTCCGACCCATATGTCCAACCGCGTATCAGGGCGTGAATATGGGGATAATAACCCTCTAAATATGTGAGGGAAACTTAGAAAAATCGAACATACCTGCATATCCGGGTTCGAGTAACATATTCTCGAACATACCCGTGTATCCGGGTTCGAGTAACATATTCTCGAACATACCTGTGTATCCGGGTTCGAGTAACATATTCTCGTATATATGAAGTACCAACACAAATTGCCCTGCCTATGTACCACTAAATACTAGTCGTTTCCCATTGTCTGCATTTCCTTATCCTAATTAGCATACTTCCCTTCTTTTTGCTCCCTCTATCCTTGATCTCACAGCATTGCCGATGGGGCGCCTGCATAAACAAAGAAAAACGACGTTATGGTCTTTTCGTCATACGATGTTCATCGCAATCAACATCGGAACTCACCTTTTGCCAATAATCGGGAGCCATCTTCATCGAAGTAACTATGATGCTTTTGATAGCCATTACCGGGGCATAAACTGCTGTATTATTACAGGTTTTTCCCGACGTGTCTAACTTGTATCTGGTCCGGGTTCCAGTCGAGCCAACCTCCTCAACCCGGTCCAGGAAGTAGATGACCGGCTGTTCGCATGGGTCGACCGGCATGATTCGAGTATTAAACGTGAAAGGTCCGTCGCTCCAACTCCTCCATGTCTTGAAAGTTTGCAGCGGGGTATGCAGGTCGAATGCGGCCACCGGCTTTGGATATATTTGAATGGTGTATCCCCATGCAACGGCGATCGACCATTTCCTCTTGTTGTCGTAGCAGATACTTTGCTGGAGGATCCGGTAAGGGTCGAGCCTGTACGGTTCGATAAGGGCTTCCAAGGAGCCGGTCCGGGTCTTGTTCGGGAACATGGGTGCCAAGGCCTCAACGTGGTGGAATGAGAGCAGTGGCGCCATGGGATGCGCTGCAAGCAGTCCATACGCATCCCCTCTAACGTCAAACTGAGATTATCAAAATGAAATTAATATCATCAATTTGGTCAAAATTGAAATTATCAAAAAGAAATTAATATCATCAATTGGGTCAAAATATCCCATCAGTCCTTGTATTCTGGTAAACTTTGAAATATAGTCCCTAAACCTAAAAAAACTTAATTCAAGAACATGCACATAATCAACAGCGTATGATCGAATGCAAAACTTGTATCGATTCGAATAAATTTGACCAAAGAGAGAGGAAAGAGACAAACCAAGAACATCAACAAATATTAAATGTTTCAGATCCTTTAGTACTCTCTTAAAGATACATGGGGACCGGACCAAATCAAAACTAGACCAGACAGGTGGACAATAAAGTAATCTTATGTTATCCTACTTTATATTTTTTTAATTACTTTTATTATTATTATTATTATTATTTCAATAAAAAGTATGCTTAGTCAACTAATGAAAATAACAAAAGTAAATAAAATATGGGATTTATCATTTATGTGCATACAAATGTTGGACATGCATTAATGATGCTCACATGCAAGCCAAGACAGCACATCATTTTGTTACTTCTTTAAATCTTATTATATTATAAATTATTATTATTATATTATAAATTCGATTGTTTTTTATGATAAAGTAATGGAATTAATGAAGTCGTGTCACTTAGTGAAAATAAAATATTTAAAATTTGTTAGTTCTTGTTAGAATAAAAAAATATTAATAAAATATGTTTGAATAACTTAATAACAACAACAACAAAACCCTATTCTCACAATGGGATAAGGGGGAGATAAGGTAGTAGGTTGCCCCCAACACCAGGTTGAGAGCAACTTTCGTTGAAGACCTCCGTTGAATAACTTAATAGCTAAGTTTAAAAAACAAATATAATATACAAATCATGAAATTTAATATATATGCAAATAATATGTTTGGATATGTAAAAAAATATTTTTTATTTTAATTTTCTTAAATAACCTCCAGCCCAAAATCATAGCTAATTTTTTTTATTTTAATAGAAAATATTAATATTTTATTTTATTTTATTTTATTTTTTGAATTTTCCAATAGCAGTGAAGAAATTTTATCTGAAAGATTGCTTCAATGTAAGGTGGACATGCTACAAAACAACTTCCTTTCGAATCCAATCTATACAGTTGTTCAACTATGTATGTATTTTTTTATTTATACATGCATTGTATTTTATCTTTATTTTTAATTTTCCAACTGCAGGAAGTCTCCCACAGAAGTTGCTCTCAGCGTTGGGGGCAACCTACTACCCTACATCCCCTTACCCCATTGCATATGAGAATAGGACTCTGTTGTTGTTGTTGTTGTTGTTATTTATTACTTAAACTTTCAGTTTTTTTAAAAACTTGACGTTAAATTTTAAACATGTACTAAAGTGAAACAAGAACTATAATTTTTAAAAGTGTGGTACTAAAATGAAATAAAAACTAAATTTCATGTAAAAATTAAAAATTTAGATACTAAAACAGACTAAAACTAATAATTTAGATATTAAACGCGTAATTTACCAAATTTTTTTCACCACATCACAATTTTCCCCAAGGATAAGTCACCTTCTAACACTAACTTAACAAAAGTGAGATTTATAAAGGTGTAACATCAAAATCCAATACTATAAGAAAAGGTGGCGACCCCAATCATTAATCAGTGGACCAAATTCACCAACCAAATGTCAAGATCAAAGTGGGGGTGAAAAACCAAAAAGAAATATCCACGTGGCAAACAATCAACCGATCGTAAAAAAAAGTAACCGCAGGGTAAAACCATCACTCCATAAACAATCGCCACGTGTAAAACAAGATGGTAAAAACGGACGTACCTGATGGAAGCCTGGCTCTTTGGTGAGTGGGACCCCGATCTCGGTAATGCAAGCCCAAATGCGTTGATCGGAGCCGTAGAAATAGTAGTACCGGTTAAGACAACCGTCCAATACTTTGACTAATTTCTCCGCCAAGGGGTAACTCACGGCGAAACCTCCTCCGCCGAACGCCATGTCGTATGCATGCATTACGTTCTGTTCGACGCTCTCCGAAATCCCGCCGATGTACCACATTTCACGGTGATCGTATCTTTGTCATATAAATAATTATCACATCATAAATTTTATTTAAACTTTTTAAACATAATCTTACTTAGAGTAAAAAGAACAAGGAAAATGCTCCTAGTTTCATCAATTAATTAAGGATATATTATATGTTTAGTATCTAAATTATTAATTTATATATTTTAATATTTAAAATATTAAAATTTATAAAATCATACCTGAAGTTTAATTTTTGTTTCGTTTTTATAACCCGTTAAAAAATATTAAAAATTTAAATATTAAAACAGATTAAAACTGATAATTCAACTGATCAAAATTAATAATTTAAATATTAAATATATAATTTATCCATTAATCAAATATATTTGTTCTAATTTTATTTATTTTTTAATTATAAAGTTAAAATGAGACTTAGATATAATTTTAACAAAATAATTGAATAATCAAATTCATAATTTCCGCTAATTTCTAGTTTTTAAAGTTAATATAAAAAATTAAAATTAAATGGTGAAAATGATAGTGTACCTTCTTAAGGCAGAAACTATGTTATGAGTGAAGAACACAGTATCGTCGTCTCCCATCACGAACCACCGCACATTCGGCAGCTTCAAATTGAAACTATCCAAAATTATCCGAGCGATCCGAACCGCCGGTCTGGAACTCGAATACATAAACCGTTTCCATTCGGGACTCGACACCCGATACGGCAACGAGTCACCGCCGTCACCCGGCGGCGGCTTCTCGTCGAGCCAGACGTATCCGCGAACGGATTCCACGTCCCACCAGAGCGAACTCAAAGCGCGTCGCTCTTCCCACGTCCTGGCCGACCCGCCGATGCCGAACAGGATATGAGAGATGTTAGTCGGGGAATCATCATCCGGCGGCGAACCGGAATCGGGACCCGTTTCGACGTTCGGGTAAGTGAACCGGACGAACGAGTGAGGCCGGTTCGAGAAGGAGATGTAAACGACGAGGGTAATGGAGGTGAAGAGGTAGAGGAGGAGAGCGGCTCGGGAGACGAGCGCCGACATGTCGCGGGGATTCTCCGGCGAGATGAAAAACGCCGTCGTTTTGAGAAACTCTATCCTTGGACTCATCTTCTTCTTCAAACGGAAACTGTTTAAAAAGGAAACTTGAGATTGTCGTCTGAAAATCGGAGTGATTTAGTTCGAAATTTCGATGAATTTAAGTAAGATGGAGTAAATAGAAAGGTTTATGGTTTTCAGTGATTTTGTGAATGCTTAACCGTTGAACCTCGTACCTGTGCAGTGTTGTTAAGCAAGACAGCTCGGTTCAGACATGTTGGGCCGAATCTGTTCGGCTTTGTTTCCCTGATTTTGCCCATTTATAGGTTTAGCCTAACGCCACAGCCCAATTATGGAATGTTCTAACCGAACCACATCGTGTTTTTTTAATTAATATAGGGTAAGTACAATGTATTTGTTTAAAGATAACTTAATCATTTTACATTGAAGGCTCACACCCTTAACACTTCTGGTGTTCAAACCCGGCACATCGTAAATGTTGAGATTTAAATTTAAAAACGCATAATATCAAAGTTAACCCCAACGTATATTAAAATAGTCATTTTGTCTCTTATACTATTTTTGGAATATTTTGACCTCAAATATTTCATTTTAGAGCAAAAAGGTCTCTAACATTTGATAAAATAGTCACTTCGACCCTTATTCTTTTTTATGAACCATTCTAACCCTCAATGTTTTATCTTACGTTAAAAAGGTTACTATCTTGGAGCGTTAATCGTATATTAGCTAATAGTTTTCATCTATAAAGGGTATTTTTTATCCAAAAGTGAAATATTAGGGGCCAAAATGCTCCCAAAAAATAAGGACCAAAATGACCATTTTAATAAATATTAAGGGCTATTTTTGATATTATACCATTTAAAATGTACATATAATTATGAATTTTTAGTTAATAGAGTATATAGAGGTCGAATTTAACTCATCTCAATTTGATCAAATGATTATTCTCAAAATATTTATTGCTAATTTAGATATATAATATATATTCATTTAATCTGAATTAAATTAAACTAACTTTATGTTAATTTGTAATCTAAATTTTACTCGCGCAAACTATTAAAGTCAGTACTTAAATTTAATATTTATATTAATCATTAATTATTAAGGCAAAAGCTTAAGCCTTGTATTTCTAAAAAAATCAATGTGGCACTCGTATTATTTTTTTCTTAATGTGGTTCTCCAATTAAAAAAAATTCAATGTGGCCCTTTGACCAATGTTTTCCATCATTTACCAACATTAAAGCAAGTCCCTCGCTATTAGGATGCTATAAGTCAACTAAGTTCCTACAAAAATCATGTTAATTTTGTAATCTAAATTTTACTCGCGCAAACTATTAAAGTCAGTACTTAAATTTTAAATATTTTATATTAATCATTAAATATTAAGGCAAAAGGCTTAAGCCTTGTATTTCTAAAAAAATCAATGTGGCACTCGTATTATTTTTTCTTAATGTGGTTCTCAATTAAAAAAAATTCAATGTGGCCCTTGACCAATGTTTCCATCATTTACCAACATTAAAGCAAGTCCCCTCGCATTAGGATGCTATAAGTCAACATAAGTTCCTACAAAAATCATCTCCTTATTCTTTTCCTTCCTCTTCAACAATTGTTCATGCAACCGGAAACTAATGTTTCCATCTCTACCAATAGCCACAAAAATTATTCCTTTCACAACATATTTGAGAAAGCATACACGTCAACAGAATTAACGGATGCGTTGATCAATGGCGGAAAATTGGTCAAACGGCCACATTAGGATTTTTTTTTTTGAATTTGAGGACCACATTGAGAGGAAAAATATATGAGTGTCACAATGGTTTTTTAAGTACAAGGGCTTTGCGTACCCTTTGCCAACCATTAAATCATTCTATTTTAATCTTTCCATTAATATGTCGTTAATGATATTGATTTTTTAAGGTTATGAGAATTGAACTCGTGACCTAAAAAAATAATATTTTTTTAAGGACATGAGAATTGAAGCCTTGACATTCTAAAAATTTAATATATTTTCTGAATGACCTAATTTTTTTATAAGGTTTTAGGTTCAGTTCTCGTGACCTTATATAAGGGATCTAGTGTCTCATCCCACTAGACCAATCGATTGTTAGCATAGATAATCCTTTATTTTATATGCTAATTATACTTAGGTAAATATATATATATATATATATATATATATGGAAAAAATTCCGATCTCTATGTTATATAAATTTTAATTTAATGTTTGTTATTTAACATCTAAGATGTATGTTTCAAAGTTTATAATTTTATTTTAAATTTTAAATAAATAAAATTACGTAAAATTTGATTAATCTAAGGTGATTACAAAGTAGTATTTGTTCTAATACTCTCAATCATTTGACAATGAACACTCAACCTTGCTACAGTCGTTGTGGTGTTTGAACACGTGACCTCTCTAAACAACAATGATTCCTTTAACCACTGAGATAAATTAATTATGCAATTATTACGTGAAATTTAGTTTTTACAATTGTATAAAAAATAACTCCCATGTATAATATGCATGAGACAAGGACCTTCTTCAAGATCTTATGTCGTTTCCTATATAGGCCACAGTAGTAGATCTTTTGTCATTAAAGATAATGCAAGAAACCCTAATTTTAATTTACTAAACTATATTTACATGCAAATAATTGAATGTAAGTTGAACCCACCATTTATTTCGTACATCGAAAGTTTGAATTCTGACATTTACATTTATTTCTTAAAATCGTGTTGTTTATATCATTTAAAAAAGAATAGTACATTTATTATCAACAAGATTTTTAATAAATTCGATTGATCCCTTTATTTTCTGAAATTTGCCATAATTTCTTAGTCTAGATTCGATTAAAAAAATTAGGCATATTATAAACATGTTTTGTTTCTTGCATGTTGTTTGAAGAACAAACCAAACCTTTTTATATGTATGTTTCTCACACAATCATTTGACTGATAAAACTGTTAAATAGGTATTTGTATCATTCTTTGTCATTAATTTCAATGATTTATTTGAAGAATTAACAAATCTAAATTTAGCCTTAGAATTAGAGAGAGACCCTTTAGCTTAGCATGAGGTTTAATATAGGGAAATGTAATTTGTAATAGCGCTTGACAATTTTGTCCCTTCTGATTTGAACACAGAATCATATATGAAAGTTTTTGTAGATGTAAAAGAGGAGATCATGTTGGATAGAAAACGAGCAATAGCCTTAGAATTAGAGAAAGATGCCCTTGGCTTAGCATGAGGTTTATAATAGGCTCTTAACGTTAGAGTCAGTTTAGGATGATGATTACTATTTTACAGGTCGATAGGTGAGTAGACATTGTTGCTATATCGTAGATTTAACGTTGATGAGATTACATCAGTCAAGTCAGAACACTATAATTAGCCAGAGGATATGAAACTATGAAGTTTTTCTAAGAACTAACAAATCTAATTTAGCCTTAGAATTAGAGACCATTTAGCTCAACATGAGGTTTATATATAGGAGAAATGTGATTGTAATAGCGCTTGATAATTTTATCCTTCTGATTTGAACACAGAACCATATTGAAAGTTTGTAGATGTAAAAGGGGAGATAAACATGTTGGATAAGAAAACGAGCAATAGCCCTAGAATTAGAAGAAATGCCCTTTAACTTAGCATGAGGTTTATATAGGCTCTTAACGTTAGAGTCAAGTTTAGGATGATGATTACTATTTACAAGTCGATAGGTGAGTAGACATTGTTGCTATATCGTAGATTTAACGTTGATGAGATTAACATCAGTCAAGTCAGGACACTATAATTAGCCAGAGGATATGAAACTCTGAAGTTTTTTCTAAGAACTAACAAATCTAAATTTAGCCTAGAATTAGAGAGACCCTTAGCTCAACATGAGGTTTATATATAGGAGAAATGTGATTGTAATAGCGCTTGATAATTTTATCCCTTTCTGATTTGAACACATAACCATATATGAAAGTTTTGTAGATGTAAAAGGGGAGATAAACATGTTGGATAAGAAACGAGCAATAATCTAGAATTAGATAGAGACGCCTTAACTTAGCATGAGGTTTATATATAGGCTCTTAATGTTAGTGTCAAGTTTAGGATGATGATTACTATTTTACAGGTCGATAGATGAGTAGACATTGTTGCTATATCGTAGATTTAACGTTGATCAGATTAACAACAGTCAAGTCAGGACACTATAATTAGCCAGAGGATATGAAACTCTGAAGTTTTCTACGAACTTAGTGGCAGAAGTGTGGTTTTCGAAGGATGTATAACCATCTTTTTATTATTATTTATATTTGATTCCTTGAAGTTTGTCTTGACTCTATCCCTAGCATTAACACTATCAATCAAACTAAGACTCAATCAAATAATTTTAGGGTAAATTATGTATTTAATACCTAAACTATTAGTTTTGACACATTTTAGTACGTAAACTTTCAATTTTTTCAACACCATACCTAACGTTTAGTTGCTTCATTTCAGTACCTCGTCGTTAAAAACTTAATGCGTTTAGTACCTAAACTATCAGTTTTGGTCTATTTTAGTACCTAAACTTTCAATTGTTTTCAAAATTTAACGTTAAATTTTGAATGAGTGTACTAAAATGAAGCAAAATCTAAATTTTATGTATGATTTTGAATAAGCTGAAAGTTTAGGTATTAGAATGGACCTAAAACTGATAGTTTAGGTACTAAATACGTAATTTATCCATAATTTTATTAAAAATCCTAGTGCATCTATTAGAAATAAAGAAAAGGGTTACTTTCAAACAAGTGGATCAATCTCCAAGAACTCCTAAACAATGAACCCCTTTTGAAGAAATTGCCAGACCAATGCTTAACAACAATGACTGTGCATCAAATCTGCTAGAAAACAATTGAATAGCTTCACTGGTTGTAGTTTTCAATGCATTCAATGTCGATAGGGTTGAATTAACCCTCTACTTCTATATAAACCCTATTTTCTTCAACCCCCCTTGCATGTTTTGAAGTACCAATGAAGTGTTCAAGTGATTCATCATGGGCATACGCATGGCCTCCTCGGTCGTACTCGTGCAGTTTTTGCGG